TCGAACATTGAACCAACTTTTGGCAGACGTCCATACTTTTACTTTAGTCGCCCGGATAAAAATAACCATAAAATTACAATAAAATATCAATAAAATACAATAGATTCTATTGTTGACAATCAATCTTATTGTATTGGTCAAATAATCAAACAGTCACCACAATAAGTTTACAAAAAATTCAATGATGTCAAAATTATGCACAATAAAAAAAAAACAACAAAATTTATTGTAATGAGATCAAATTTGTTCGATAAAAAATTGACTTTTTTATGGTTACGGTAACTATCAACCCCCCTTTTTTATTATAAATGTCCCATTAACAATGGATTATATTGTACATAACAATAAGTTCTATTATATTTTTATTGTTTTTTGACAATAACATTTATTGTTGCTACAAAAGGTTTTATTGTATTGTAACAATAGGCATGGTAAATTTTTATTCGGGCGGCACCTGTTTTAAAGCTGATCATTATTTGTCAAAACGTCATCATTACGGATTCACAAATTCAGTGCGTTGATTAAACTACACAGTTCGAAAAAAAACACGTTAATTTAAGCTAAATCTAGAACACATAAAATTAACGTATCCTTAGCATATTCTTACACGTGTTCAGATTTTTTTTTTACTTGTACCATGATGGTCTGCTTTAGTAAGGATTAAATTTTATTACCAAACCTGGCTGACTTTGGAATTATTCCAAGCCAATACACTCAAAATTAAGAGATCTTATATTTACAGCTATTAATAAAGTTGAATTATATAAGAAGTATTACACAATTAATTTTCACTATTAAGTAACTAAGACATTTTCGGTAGATTATGTAAGTCAAGTCAAGCGTCATTTCTGGTCACTGTTACTTAATAGGGGCCTAGCTTGAATATAAGCTAGAAACGTCTTCTATCGGTCTGGGCCAGCTAGGTGGCAACCCTATCTTGTTTGCCTTGCCTTGACGAGAGCTAACATCGCTGCGGGCCCGCGAATCGTGGGCCCCACTGACAGCTCATAATTTGTAAACAAATAGAAGATTCAAGCCAGAATTTCAAAAAAGGCGTGACTGATATTTCCGATATTCTTAATATTTTTGCTTACATTTTGTGAAACATAAACTAAGAACTCATAGAGCATTATTTTCTGATTTTCTACCACAAAGTCAACCATTTATATGGCATAAAAGGGAAAATAATTCCATTTGATATAAATAAGACAATCCAGTCACGCCATTATTGCAGTTCACACTTAAATTGTGACGTTTCAGATGTTGGTTCCAATAACATGGCGGTATATAAGCCAGCTGGTCTGGGCAGCATGACCAGCATAAACTACAGCAATCCGTTTTTGTTTCCGTGGAAAACAGAAAAAAAAACATACATCTAATTGTCACGTATTGCCAACCAAACATTACTATTGCCATCCATATACAAGATTTTATAATTGAAATAACGAAGATTGATTGGTCATGAAACTAGAAATCAACCAAAACGCACAAGAAAAATGGCAGACTAGTTTTTCTGCTTCCTGACAGGTACTCTGAACACGTCCAGAAAATTTACGCGAAAGTCGTTGTAAATTTATAGGAGATGCCGCAGAGAATTACTTACGTAGCGTAAAATTCAGATCTAAGTAATAGCATACGTGTAATTTGCAATGATTAGTAAGATACACTTCAAATCAAATATTTCATCATTTCTCAAAAGTGATGGAGTAATACGACATGCACTAAACTAAGGACACGGGATATACTACAATAGATCAAATTACTGGTCGCAGTGGTGTTAGGTCCCGAACAGAGAAAAAAAATATATACATAAGCGTAAGCGTCACGCAAATACTGTAAAACTGGTGTGACCAATTCAACTGATTTAAATCACTGAGCTAAAAAATATCTCACTCGGTTATTTCAATCGTTAGCGTTCGGTTTTTACGCATTCAGATCGGTCGGTAGATAGAGAAATTTTTCGCCTGCCTTTCAGTTTATCCTTCATTCATTCTACTGCTGTCGATTTCAAGTCTAAATATTTGCAGAGTTACTTGGTGCCCCTCGGGATAACGTCTTGTGTAGAAGTAGTTATTTCTAAGTGTGTAGAATCATGCTGAACAACTCTGGTCCCAGCCCAGCAGTAGCAAGAGGCGTCTTCTGACCATAGTGTCGTCGTCGATACTGGGTTGCAGCGCTTGAAACGAAGCAGAACCAAAGGAAACTGTAGAACGGTAGATGAACACATAGACTAATACCGATTCTTTTGACCTGGGTGAAAAGAATACACAGCCGGCGCCGGTGGTGTAGTGGTAAGCGGGACTGCTTTCTCACCCCAATGGGTCTGGGCTCAATCCCAGCTGAGGCCGGTGCGATTTTACTGAGGCATAAAAATCTCTGGTCACGTCTTTCGGAAGGGAAGTAAAGCCGTTGGTCCCGGCCCATGTGTGTTTGAATGGGTGAGATATCCTATGCAGGTGTGGAAGCTGCCTTCCTGCACATTCGATTGCCGTCAATCGATGGCAATCGATGTCCGTCGGTGATTGGCACTAGATTACGGAACAGAGACCGACGTTAAATAAAGGAAAGAAAGAAAAGAAAACACGGAGAAGTCATCTTCCACCTAACGCAGTCTGGTCACGGCTGCTTCAGAAAATACCTGCATCGGTTCGGACACACAGTGTCCCTCGGATTTATTCTGACCGGAGTGTGAGCGTGGACGAATCGCCAGAGTATGTGGTCTTCGACAGTGGGTTTTAGTGGAGCTGCACTAGGCAATTAGTGGATACCACACCGTGCCAGCTACATTACAGGCCAGGCTTTTGAAGTTTTCCAAAACCTTACCATAAAAAAAGACGTATGCACAAAAATACTTCCACAAATACTTATAACAATACTGACATTCTTCTATTCACGACGTGTATATATTTACATGATTGACAAATCTCAGGTAATCATGACATTTTGATTTTTGAAAACAACGCGCAAGAGAAAATACACCTACTGCGTCAGGATCTGTCATGATTACCTGAGTTTTGTCAAAAAATCGTAAATACTTACACTGTGTGCAGCGAAGAATTGACAACAACAAATTCATTGACTTCTTCTTCTTAGCATTTGAAGCTTATTGAGAAACGTGCTCAACTTTTTAGCTCAGCTTTGGTACTCTCTTCGGTCCCAAGCTAATCGATGCACCACTCGAAACATAGGAAAATCTACGAACCCCTCATTTTAAATGTCAAACTTTCATAGTGAATCAAAACAAACATAGTGTAGTACTAGAATTTCGACTAGAGTGGGGCACGTTAATCGATTTGTTTGGAACCAATAGGCTAGTCAAGCAGTGAGCCAATTAAAAATCGTTAGTTTCCACCGGTTGATAATACTCTATGCCCAGGGAAGTCGAGACATTTTCCAACCCGAAAAATTCCTAGACCTGACCGGGAACCGAATCCAACCAGCTACAGCATGGTCTTGCTTTGTAGCTGCGCCTTTACCAACTGAGCTAAAGGAGGCCCCACAAAACATTTATAATAAAAATGGCATTGACAAACGTAAAGACATCGACAAAGATAATGACAGTAACTGACACTGATTCTCAATTTTTTTATGAAGATTATGTGAGCTGATTTTGGTAGCCCGGTGTTTATTTGGTCACAATAGACTTTATCAAATGCTTCAAACATTTCGATGCTACCAATTGGTGTCATCAAATTGGTAATTGTAGAGCGCTTTTTTTTTATTTTTTTTTCCATAAATCCATGTTGGAACATTTATCACTTTGTGTTGCAAAAGAGGAGACTTCCCTTTAACCCCAATGGATAAAATGTCACGCTGACGCTGACGATTTGAGAATAACTCATGACCATTTTGTTTTCCATGAATGTTACCTCCCAACAGGATCTTTACACCTGCTCTAGTGTACGGTGCATACTATTGTTTTTGACATTTTTCGGCAACATGTTGGGGGTGCAATTACAAAAAACCAAAATCGACCTCGCTACGAAATGTGGTCAGGTTTTGACCAATGATAACATTTCAAAGATTGTTTTTATGTGTCCCACACATGAATTTATGTAGTGTGATCAACAAATGATGTCTATGTGTTGGACTCATACTTAATATGTGTACACATAAAAGTCATGTTTAACCACACATACATACAAGGGGGCCTCCCTTAGCTCAGTCGGTAAAGGTGCAGCTACAAAGCAAGACCATGCTGGAGGTGGCTGGGTTCAATTCCCGGTCCGGTCTAGGAATTTTTCGGGTTGAAAAATTTCTCGACTTCCCTTGGGCATAGAAGTATGATTGGACTTGCCACACAATTATACCAATGCAAAAATGGTACAGGCATCGAAAGCTCTCAATTAATAACTGTGGAAGTGCATCTAGAACACTAAGTTGAGAGCACGCAATAAGCTAATATGCGATATGCAATAAGCTTGAAATGCGAAGAAGAAGAAGACTATTCATTTGACTTATAAATTTCACGTGTGTTTCTGGGTTGTTTCCAATTAATTTCACATAGAAATTCGTCACTAAAAATGTTGTGGAATTGTATTAGCGTAACTCTGTTCATAGCGGCCGGATTTTAATTCTTAATTCGCCAATCGATAGGAAGTTTTTCTGCAAATCTGATACAATTAAAACTTAATCAATTTTCGGAAGGTCACTATTATAAATTGCATGAATGTGCTACTGTTGCTATGATAATTTAAATTATCAACAACAGTTTTTCTGCAAATCTGATACAATTAAAACTTAATCAATTTTCGGAAGGTCACTATTATAAATTGCATGAATGTGCTACTGTTGCTATGATAATTTAAATTATCACCAATTGCCTGTGAATAGCGCTTTCCCTAAAACAGATTTCAAAATCGAATTAAATCCGGTCTCGCTGAACGGTGTTCATTCGATCATCGCGTGTTGTGAATGGTGTTCGGTCATCATAAGTAGCAGCAGCAGTAGTTCTTTCGGCGCGTTGGCGTTGTACATTTTTCTCCACTACACAACGAAAGGCTCCCCGCAAGCAGCTAGCTATCAAGGTGCCCTCAAGAGCCTTCGATTCATCGAAGAAGAAGGAAGAAGCTGCACCGCTACTGATCGGATTCAGTTGCTCGTCGTAAGCCGCTGTGGACCATCTACGCCAAGCGCGTCACCCTCGTTCCAAACAACATACAGCTCGCCAGCCTCATCCGTGTTAAACACCTAATAGCCCAGCATTACTCAACCATCACAACAAAGCGGTTCTTTTCAGGACCACCATAAATTATTGTTGTTTAAGAGTTAATTTTCATTTACCGTTCGCTCACCTGCTGCCAGCTACATCAGCCCCAAAGCTCTTTGATAATATACTCAGCAACAAAACGTTTATGGTCAAATGCGTAACATAATTGAAGTGGTACATAAAAATTCTTGCAATGACCGAATACCACGTGACCTTGTCAATTAACCAATTAACTTCGAATTAAGGTAAGGTTTTCTCCAGGACGCTAGAAAAAGCAAAAAAAAAAATCTTGAATGTGTATGATTCCAATCAATTTTCGTTTTTTTTTATCTATTGAATAAACCAAAAAATGCGTTTTGTGCACGAAAATGCGTAATTTTGTTATCAGAAAACGAGGCGTTTCCGTGATGTGAAAAAGCAGTTTTCCTAACACAGTCGCCGAATATTGATACCGAGCACGTAATCCTACTTCAAATCTACGATCGTGTCTTGGATACAACATCTTACTTTTTTTAATTGTATGGCTGTTCGTGGCTGCCTAAAATTAGTGGAAGAGGAGTCTAAAATTTCTCCAATTCTATCAGCAATATCATTTCAACATAGTTTATGAACAGCCCTATAGTTTTTTTTTCCTTGATTTCCGAGCTGAGCACCAATGCTACCGACGTCAGGGAGGCAGTTCCCACACCTATCGACCCATCAACTCATGAACCGGGGACCAACGGCTTTACTTCCCGTGATCAGAGATGTTATGCCTCAGAACATCCCGGCGGTGCCGACTAGGATTGAACCCAGGCCTGCTGGGGTGAGAGGTAATCACGCTTACCATTACACCACCGGCGCCGCTAGCCCTATAGTCAAATCGACGTTAATATTTTTATAAACTATAGACTATTCAAATTATAATTATTCCTACCTACCTTTAAGTACCTAATAGATCATATTTTAAAAGTGTAATGCACATCGAAAAGTTACCAAAACAATAATTTTGTTCTGGATATTTTTTGAGGAGGGGTCTGCATACTTGAGCTGGCATGGTGTTACTCATAAATAATGTTCGAATCAAAGCGCTGGTGCCGAATGATTATACGTGATCCGCCTGTAAACAAGAATCACACAGGCAGAAGGAATAACTTTTTGCCAAAATACGAATCATTATTCTTGCACCTCAAGTTTGGTTCGCTATGCTACCGTCGCATGTTTGGCATTTCCCCTCAAGTGATTGATATGTCAATCGTATATCCGGCTCAGTAGCAGCTAATCGTACACGTGGCTATTATTACATATTAGGTTGTATGATGCACTATCTGGTACTAGAACACGCAACAATTGTCGTATAACCTACTCATAGAGAATGAGCGTCATATGAACAGTGTGAAAGAACTTGTATATTACAATAGTTTTACTGCATTGCCAATCAAATAACTACAGAGACCAAACGACGGAGCGCGGTCAAAGTATGAATGACGCAAAAGTAATTGAAATTCCAAAAGGTGCAGACAAATAATGAGTGTGAGTGTAAAGTGGGAATATCGTGAAATAGCTTCATGCAAAATCCGTCGGATGTCTGTTTCGCTTCCGAAAGGAAGTTCACAATCTTAATTTATGTGTAAAACGTAAACACAAAGACAAGAAATTTAGAACGTTTTATTTATCATTTTTATGTGTCGAACGGCTATGGACTATATATAAATATACAGCAAAACGATATAGTGGTTCTCAGAATTTCGTAACAATTGGTGCCTTTGTTCCTTATCGAAAAATATTGGACCCTAATTTTTTTATTTTCTCATTAGGGTGACCATTTTCATGTTAGGGTGGTCCAATTGATCATTTTTTCTATTTTTTCCAAAAATGATTTTTTTTTAATCATAACTTTTGAACCATTCCCTGTCGAGCTATCAGTGGAGACGGTCGACTTATCCGTTCTCTGGTACGTTTTCTCCAAGTGAATATTTTCTCCGCGGCTTTTTGTTCACATAATAACATTGTGCATTGTGTGAAGCAGTGTTGGGAAAATATAAAAAATCAAACCTCACCAAAGAACAAGATCACGTTTGTAGACAAAAATTAACAAGCAAACAACTGCGGTTGATATTGCAAGCTGTGATATTGCAGCAGGAAATATCAAGCTAAATCTCACCAGTTGCAAATCTCACCAAAAAGTGGTGAGATTGAGTTTCATGATTTTTGCTTTACACCCGACCGCAACCGAAACTTCCATAACGGCTGGCAGTAGTTGCTTCGTGGTTGCCATCGGTGAAGAGAAAAACGAGTTAGCATTATTTTACCTTCTCTTTCTAAGAAAACGAGCTGCAACGGAATTATTGTTGCATCGAATCAACTCTCAGCTTCAACTTTACACGTTTTGAATAGTGTCGCAATATCAAAGGAGCTTAAAAAATCAATATCAAGCATGATATTTGGCTCTATTATCACGCATGATATTGAGAGCGTATGAGAGGGGAAAAATAGAAATGGGGGGGGGGGGGGGGGGTTTGGGGACAGCCGAGTCTGTCGGTGCAACGCTCCTATAGTTGCGGTACGTTAGAAGCGTTAGGTTCCTATAATTGTGTATGGAGACTCCGTACACAACTATAGGAACCGAACGCTTCTACCGTATCGCAACTATAGGAGCGTTTCCCCTAGATATAATAGTGTTTTTGGTTTTATTTTTCCACGTCCCCTCTTCTGCGCAGCTAGTTGTTCTCTTCCGAAATTTAGTGTGCGGGTTTTTTTCTTTTTTTTCTTTTTCGCTTCCTTTTATTGCGTGTAAACGGAGATGCATCTTTCGTAATCTGTTGCCGTGGTGCTTAAGCCCCCGCAATGGATGTTTTAGATGATGACGACGGAATCTCACCAGCTGAGATCTGTGACGATGAGTCTCCGTAAGTGAAAACTCTTCCTCCTTCCTCCTGCCTGAGGAAATGGATACTTCTGCTGGTTTTGGTACGACCACCAATAAGAACACTGGAACGTATCCTAAGGTTAAACGATCGCCACTGCACCCTCCACCACACCTACCCGGAGGAGGTCACTGAAACGAGTCTGACTTGCGATGATTTTTGCAAGGATGGGCTTAGCGTCTTCAAAAACTTTTCCCATCTGAAATTAAAATTGTGGATTGCATTCAGGTGCATTCAGTGTCTTCCGTCGGGACGAAAAAAAACCTACTCACTGTCAGGCTCGTTTCTTGTGACCTTCGCCGGATTGGTACTACCGGATTACGTCGTGATTGGGAAGATTCGACTACCTTTACGCTTGTTTGTACCGAACGTAATGAACTGCTTGAAATGCAAAAGGCTAGGCCACACTGCAGCCTTCTGTGGTAACAAGCCGCGCTGTGACCTGTAAGGCGAGGACCATGCGGAGGGTTCTTGTCGTGCTACCCCAAAATGTATCTATTGCAAGAATACTCCACATGCTCTTACAGATTGCCCGAAGTACAAACAAGAGGGAGAGAATCTTAATTGGTCTCTGAGGGATCGCTTACGACGCTCCTTTGCAGAGATCTTGAAAACTTCTTCTGCATCTTCCCGAATCACCCCAGGTAACAACTCCTTCGGCTTTCTCCTAGTTGATGATCAGGGCTCTGACTCAGAGGTTGGTGAGGGAAATCTCGTTCTATCGTGTCTCATCGTTGATTCCGCGTTTCAGGCTCAAACGAAACCCGTTTCAGGTGCTTCAGTTCGTAAACGACCTCCCACTCTGTGGTGGGATGAGGAATGTTCCGGCGCGAATAATGAGAAGTCCACCGCGTTCAAACATTT